GGGACTACCTGCTGTCCTCTGCACAGTTCGTAGCTGGCACGGCAATGGAAGATGAGCCAGGCTATATCAGAGTCAACTGACAATCACGCAGGTAAGCGGCTGTCATCCATGACGAAGTGCCACTAGCTGCTGACATCCAGAAGTCATGGGGGCAGAACCCGACAGAGGTCCGCAGGAAGGCGCACCACTGCCCAGACCCAGAAGGTCGAAAAACCGGCGTGTGGTGCTTCTCCAGATTAAAAAGATTTTTCTCCAGTTCATCGAGACACACCAAATCAGGCATTATCAAAATTTACAAGCTATTATTTCTCGCAACATGCACGTTGCCATGCATGTAATCGGCTGTGGTCAAAACTTGTATAAGTTGCAAGAGTTGCTGAAATGTTGCTAGATGCTGTGCCCAAGAGGGATCATTTGAATGTGTACACAACTCCCATGCTCTTGCATGGAGAGTGAGAGTAAATAAATAAACAGTTTGTTCTCGAGTACATCAAGGTACACCATATCAGGTATGGTCAAAAAGTGTGACTATGATCAACTTGATAGTGTTAGTTTGTGGGCTGTGACTTTATTCAGGGGTGAGTCACATCCGACACGCTGCAGTTTTGTTAAGCTCGTGGGGCTAGTTACTGTTCTCCGCACAGTTCGCAACTGACATGGCAGTGGCAGATGAGCCGGGCTATATCATGGTCAGCTGTCAATCACGAACGTCAGCGGCAGTCTCCATGGCGGAGTGGCACGAGCTGTCGATATCCGGAAATCATGAGGCCGGAACAAGGCAGGGGTCCGCTAAACAGCGCACCACTGACAAGACACAGAATATCGAAACACCGGTGTCTCGTGCTTCTCCAGATTAGCAATAGCCTGTTGACTGAGAGTCCAACGTGATGAACTATCTCTAAGCAAATGATTCGTCCATGCATCCAGTGGGGAGCGTATCACAGGATATTCACCGCCTTGCGTACGTCTGGTAGGCATGATTCCCTAATTAGACTGTCTGGAATGTTGTTGCTGTGCATGTTGAATGAGCGTAGGTCGGCTCCGTTGATGAAATGTGGCTCCCATCCACATCCCTCCTGGTCTTATTCCCTCGGGTTTACACTAGATATGGGGTGTGTGGGTGGAGCTGTGTGTTGTGTAGCGCAAGCCATTCATGGTCCATCTGTAAGCGCAGGCGTTTTGTGGCTGCCCTATGAGCGACTTAACTCGTTGCCAACGTTTTGTAACTAAAATTGCGTGTTCAAACCGACCATTCTAAGGGATCTGTCGGACTTGAGCCATTCATAGGTAACACTAGCGCACCATAGGAGTTACGCATTCCCAGACCAACATCTTGACACGGACAACGCAAAAGGGTTTACTGGTACACTAAAGTTAAAATTAGATACAAAAGTACACATGTATTTAAAGTACTAACAAAAATTGAGGTGGAAATCAAATACAGAGCGGGTTTCGGAGCGAGCTGTATGCACATTCATGGGTCAAGTACTCCGTCTGTAAAGAGCCAAATGCATGTAAACGTCGCATTGCCACCCGTGTCGATTCACATTGGGAGACAGTTGTACTGACCAACAGCGTTCCAATCCCGCCGCATGTATTGAAGGCCATCGCCACATTATGAAGGGACTTGTACCTTGCTCTCCTGCTCCAATTCTACTTGTGCAACCGTGTTACCATTCGAAGCTGAGTGTCCAACCTCTACAATAGAGGAGCAAACAATGAGGTAAACGTTTGTCACAAAGTTGCAACAATTATTAATCCAACAATAATTATAGTGTGTTCTCGGTTGCAAGATGCGTTTGGCCCTTGCTCCTAAAGCCAATGCAGTGGTGGACTTGAAAAATTGAACAACCTGCAGAAGTACGTGATTCTGGGAAGTGAGAAGATCAAACCGAAGCCATGTGACACCAGCGCATGCGATAAAATTAATGCAACTAGTGCCATCATTTAAACACTCACTTGAATGAACAGATTTCAGATGTTTTTGCATATTACCCTTCTGTGAAAACGATTTGCCACACTGTTCGCATGTATAGGGGCGCTGTGCTGAATTGGGGAACAGACAGTGAATAGGCACAGATAAACATCAAGATGGCGATACAGCTATAGAATAAATGATTGGCTAGAATAGGAACACACATGTAACAGTGTAGGCATAGTACCGAATTTGCCATGAAAATTAAAAGTTGGTGGCGTGCGGCCATCTTGGAACTGGAAAGATATCATATACCCATACACGTTTGCTGAGACTGAGCAACAAACCTCCGCTAATGCGCCGCAATACAAAACTGGAAACGGATGGGTAATTGGTGAAGTGAGTGTCGCTTACAATCAAGAAGTGCTTCATTCTAGAAGTATGTACCGAGCAATGTGCCTAATGTATTGGAAAACTAATAATCTTTAAGGATCCCAATGATGAAAGACACTGCGATGGACCACATTGCTAGTCAGTGAAAGATGTAACTCGCATCTGGTCGGTGACGTTGTTCACACCACAAGCGATCGAGCACGACAAATACATATCTCTCCGTGATGAACTAATACTTCCATTTCGGAATGAGTACACATAACGCGTCAAACAATTTATCATTGTCACCCGATTTCGTGTGCTCTCAGTGCCGCCACAAGCATCGAAATCACTTAATTCAAACGAACACTGTGCTTCGTGTAAATTAAAATTGTGACGCAGTTCCCTGTGGGCCTTTCAACGCAACTCTGTGTGTGTGTGTCCTCGAGCTCAACTATGATTCCATACTCCAAGCGTCAACCTCGTCCTATGATCACGGTCATCAAGCCGACAAGCACGCTAATAAACAGATTCACCACCGTACCTGTTTCCCTGATCATCCATTAACATTGAGGAACATCTGGCATTGTACCTACCCCTTTGAGCTGTATGGACACTTACGAGAGTACTGCTTATGGTCTTGACACTGCAAGTGGTATAGTCGGTGAAATTACACCGTCTGAACATCTACGTGAGTGTGGATCATGGTTGTCACATCAGACGCTGCAAACCACCGTAGCCTAGGAGACTCACACTGTTGGGATATAAAAGTGGGTAGGAATGGTGCGTGCAACCTACTCCTCCGCCCACTGCTCAATTTACTATACAAAACGCAGTGGACTGGGGCACCATTACCGTCTATACGTGTCACCAGAGACAACAGTTGTTGCCTTCCTGAACGAACGGAGAGCAGCTATTTTGGAATTGCGTTGAACGCTCACACTGTTAAGGTTCGCACCAAAGTAGTGCCGTGTGCTCAATACCATTCAACTAACCCCACTACTACTCATCCAAACAAAATTACTAAGCACAGATGGATCACGAGACCATGTGTGGTGGATGAGTCCAAATGCCACGAACCCTCCTACTAATCACTAACGACAAGATAAAGCTTCTAGCTGTATAGCCGGGAGTCTCACATGGAAACTCACAAACGAAGCTGCCACTGACCCATCCCTACATCGGGTTGGAATTACGGCTATGTACCTGAATGACAAATCTTAAGAATATGGACAATACCTTGCATCTAAAGCAGTGGATGTGCCTTTTGGCTTCAAACTGTATAGTACTATCCGAAGTCTAGACCGATACGACACCGATTCTAGTGCTGACGGTACAGCCACTAGAAGTAGCGGATCGGTTCACGCATAATGGCAGCTGTGTCACCGGAGTGCCCATCACTCGACATTTTATTTCACGTTTCATCGAAGCCCTGTGCCTTTGCAGATACTCCACCATCTAAAGAGAGAGTGGGATATCAGAATGTCAAGGAAAGTTAAGGTGCACCACACTGCGATAAGGCAGGTGTTATTGCGTAGATCAGAGACCTGGGAATGTCACATTGAAAGCATGGAACGGTTGGCCTCGTTTGACCACCGGTGCTCGCGGTATATAGCACACACCTGGTGAGTGTCGCTGGGGTTCGTCGGTTGGTTTTTGTCAAGATTTCCTCTAGTGTCTCGCTGGAGTATCTGCTGTAACGTGTTACGTGTTCTCCGCATGCCCACTGAACATCTACCTGGGTGGGCAAAATGCGCTGGCGCCGAAATCTGTTGGCAGCGAATTCGAGGTGTCTAGTTAGAGATTTAGCGTTAGGGCATGAAGAAGTTGAATAGAAGACCTAGCCAGACAGGTGTGTGCTGTTCTCGTTGATGGGCCATCCGGATGATCCACATAAGTGGTTTGGGACTTGATCGGACATGGCGCGGTCGCTTAGTCAGTGATCCACCTACATTGAGCGTTCTGCAACTAAATGGTAACATTCCAACCAGATTAGCTTTACGCTTGTCTTATACTAACACATCCTGGTACCAAAAGTTCATTACATCTCTAAAACACTTCACAAAACGGCGCATCTCGAACTTATTCGGTATCGTCAGTTGGAGATAGCGCACCTCGAAACAGGGACCGTTAGAATATCAGCGGTGACCTTTGCCTCTTTAACGACAGGGTCACGAAGTGTAAAGCTTTGCAAAACTGGAGACAGATGTCACCTACCATATAAGCAAGTGCAGAGTCAAATGAATAGATTCGCTAGCTACGTATCAAGGAATCAACAATCTGAACAACCTGTAAAAAATCTTCCTAAACAGTAAGAGCTCTTTCAGCTAGTTCATCATGGTTGCGCTCAATCCGCAGGCTTAGGCTAGTCTGAAAAAGCACCATACGCCGACATGTCAACCCATTGGGTTTGGTCAGCGGTGCGCATTCCTGCGGACTTCTGTCGGGTTCTGCCCCCATGACTTCTGGATGCCAGCAGCTAGTGGCACTTCGCCGTGGGTGATAGCCGCAGATGTGCGTGATTGACAGTTGACTATGATATAGCGCGGCTCATCTTCCACTGCCATGCTAATTACGAACTGTGAAGAGGACACTGCTTAGCCAGACGAGCTAGGATTTTCCGCATAGCGCCTCGGCAAGGCACGAGGACTGGAAAGCTATACGAACGGATGTCTTACATTAATGTCAGTAGGGTTGATTCTATCGAAAGCACGCGATATCAACGGAGATGAGGTGACGCAACAGATACAAATAAAGCTAAAATCGCATTACCAAATTCAGACTCACTCGAATGAGCACATATGAAGTGTGTTTGCAAACTACCTTTCGAAGAAAACGATCTGCCACAGTGTTCACACGTGCAGAGTTTTTGCTCTGCAGTAGGAAACAAAAGCTATCAATTACAGGTGAATCTCACAGGGCAAACTGACAAAAAATAGCGAGTGTTTCAGTAGAGCGTGTGCACCAGTTACCGTGCAACAGAGAGGTGATTATGGCCTCCAAATTCGAGGATTCGCCGTGTAAAACAATAGCGTAGTGCTTGAGGATTACGTAACATAGAAGATAAGAAGGAGATAAAGAATGCGAATAGGTCATCGGTGAATGTGACAACATATTAACGGTAGATACCAAACGAGGTATACAATATTCTTGTTCGGATGTCATGCAAAGAGCGAAAAGTAAAGAGATCCAATGGAACGACATCTATACTCATGAGACAACGCAATCAGCACAGTTGGAATCAGGAGTGAAACAAGCACCGATAATCTTTTAGAAGCTGCCGATTATTTTCGTAATAGAACGTACAGCATAAATCCGAGAAACAATCATGCAACAAGCGATCAAATATATCACACTACACGGTGGCCAAAAGAAACTTTAAGAAGTGAGCTACACAACTCGTTCCTAAGGAAAGCTTAACTACCGGTCGTTAACGGATGCTTGTTGAACTCCGCCTAAAATTCCACGACAGTTCCGTCGGGGTCATCCTGGTATCGGAGGGACGAAAATGATTGTGTGAATTTTTGTTTATTCGCTAAACATCGACGCAGGGCATTACCAGTTGATGAAGATATGTGCAAGCTGTGTGTAAAATGCGTGATTGTTATTAAGTCACCCCAGGAAACAGAATCATCTCCTTAGCCATCAGCGACAAAAACCTGGGAACGCATACATGCCAATTTCGTTGGTCCTGTGAACGAACAACAGTTCTTAATTGCTGTGGAATTTTTCAGCAAATGTTCGGCAAGGAGTTTGCAAACAGTGGTGCAACCATCAAAGTACTGAGAGGTCTTTTCAGCCAGCATGGAGTATCCGAGACTTTGGTCACAGACAATGTTTCGCAATTCAGCACCTTGCAGTTTGATGAATACTGCGCGCAGTTTGGTATTACACATTTGCGCCGTTTCACCCGCACTCCAGTAGACAAGCGGAATGTTTTGCCGATAGGATCAAACGGATGTTACTGAAAATGATGAGGGGAAGTGACTACAAATCGGTTCCTGACCTTCAGGTGCCAAACGTGTCACCCGCAGAGGCTCTCATAGGAAGGAAAAGCTGAACTGTTAACTCGTTGCTGTTGCTGAGGAGGAGTACTGTTTCGCAAGAGAGATGTGGATTTACAATACAAGGAAATAGAACCCAAGAACCTAGGGTCTTGGTCAGAGAAAATGGAATGGGGAAACTATTGTGAACAGGAGACTGGATTCAGAACAGAAGAGGAAAAGTGATTTAAAAAATCAAAGGTCATTAAATTTGGACCAGATACGCGAATCAGTTAAAATTTCAATTGTTCATTTGTTCTCCAAGCTTGGCTGTTTTGTCGCAAACGTTTCACCATCATGCGAGGTGGCATCCTCAGTGCAGTGATATGCGGCGTGAAATCTTACTGAATGAATCCTCCATCCATGATCGACCTGCAGGTGAGTTTTGAAAGTGGCAGTGTCGATTCACGTCCCGTGACTTCTACCCAGTTTTCCCAAGGCTAAACTCGGCGCCCAAGTTGTTATGCCTTAAACCGCGTGGGAAAAGGATTTTTTTTATTTCTTTCTGTCGGAGTGGTTCGTATATTGTATCGATGTCCAAGCGCATGTTGGTTGAATGTTTCGTTGAAAACCAAGCTTCCAGGAATTCTCTTTGTGTTCTTGTTTCACCCCGTGCCAGGACTTCTGCTTTGCTCAAATCGAAGCTATGTCCTTCTTCATCTACATGCAATGAAACTAGCAACGATGCATAATGCTTTACACAGGCTCTATTATGTTCTTGTATCCTTGTGACCAGTTTTCTTCCCGTCTTGCCAACATAATCCCTTTCGCAATCTCGGCAAGGTATTCTGTATGCCACATTGCGTTGTTCATGTGCGTGCAGTTTTTCTTTTGGTTTGAAAGGGTTCTTCTCAACGTGGCAGTTGGTTTGTGTGCCACGATGAGACGATGCTTTTTGAATAATCTGGCTACCATTTCCGATATGTTCTTCTTCATAAGGCAGAACAACCCGTTTCTCCGTTTTTGTTGTTGTTGTGTTTGTTGTTGCCGCTGCTGCTGTTGTTGTGGTTATAGGCTGTATGTTTACGTTGTTGTGATTCAGACACCTTCGGATGAAGCTTCGTGGGTATCCGTTGAGTTGGAAACATTTAACTAGGTGCTTTTCTTCCTTTTGCTTTGCTTCTGTGGTACTGCAGTGTGTTTGCACTCTGCGAAACAGTGTCCGCACACAGCTTACTCTGTGGCATTTCGGGTGGTTGCTGTTAAAGTTCAGAATTGGGTCTGTGTGTGTGCCTTTTCTGTAGACCGATGTTTGCAGCTCGCCTTCCATGCTTCTTGTTACTAATACGTCCAAGAAAGGGAGCTGGTTTTCCTTCTCCGGTTCCATTGTAAATTGGATGCCTTCCATGGCGTTATTCAATAGCTGTTGCGCGACTTTTATTTGGTTGCGTCTGATTACCATGAAAGTGTCATCCACATACCGAACCCACAGATTCGGATCGTTGAGTGGTAGTATCTCCTCCACCAATTTCTGCATAACCATCTCCGCAAGGAGGCCTGACACAGGTGATCCCATTGGCGCGCCTTTCAATTACTCATAAATCTTTCCATTGAGTGAGAAGTGGGTCGACAGACACAAGTGGAGTAGTTTGCATACATTTTCGGTCGTCATTTTTCCGATTTGTTGTTCACTGACGTTCAGCCGTTCTGTGATGACTGCTATTGCTGTCTGCAAGTTAACGGACAAGAAGAGTGCAGTCACGTCGAATGATATCATTGTTTCATCATTATTTAATCGCAAGCCTTTGATCTTTTGCAGAAACTGCTGGGCATCGGTTATGGAATATTGCGATCCATAGGTCAAATGTTTGAGGTATCTCCACATTTCTTTCGCCGAGTTGTAGGTGGGTGTTTCCGGGAGTGATACGATAGGCCGCAACGGTGCATCATCTTTGTGAACTTTTGGGAGTCCGTAGAATTGCGCGATGTTCGAGTCGCGGGCTCTTATCCTATTGCATTCTTCGTTCGTGATTTGCTTCAATTCATGAAGTTGCTTCAATGTTTTGTTTAATTTGTTTGTCAGCTGTGAAGTTGGAAGCTTGGTTCTCAACGAAACATTCAATCAACATGCGCTTGGACATCGATTCAATATACGAACCACTCCGACAGAAAGAAATAAAAAAAATCCTTTTCCCACGCGGTTTAAGGCATAACAACTTGGGCGCCGAGTTTAGCCTTGGGAAAACTGGGTAGAGGTCACGGGGCATGAATCGACACTGCCACTTTCAAAACTCACCTGCAGGTCGATCATGGATGGAGGATTCATTCAGTAAGATTTCACGCCGCATATCACTGCACTGAGGATGCCACCTCGCATGATGGTGAAACGTTTGCGACAAAACAGCCAAGCTTGGAGAACAAATGAACAATTGATTCATCAACCTGAGCTACCAGTATTTCGAAACAGTTGAAATCTATTAGTATCCGTAAGAGTACAGATAACCGATCCCTACCAAATGAGCTCCTCTTGAGCTACTTCGACGTAATAACTCCAAGCGTGCCCGACGAGGAGCGCGCAGCAGTCTCAGGAGAAAGGGATTTGAAACCAAGAGGTTGTACTGACCGGAAAGAACAATGACAGCATATCTTGGGGATTCACTCGCAAATGAACATACGCCATTGGGACGTCGTAGTGCAAAGCTATCAACTAGCGAAGGTTGAGTTTGAGTGAGAAAGTGGTGACCACATGAACTGAAAGTGGGTGTTTGGTAAACAGCAAAAACTTCGCAGTCGCAGTCCAGATGACCACAAAGGGGGATTAGTGAGGCTCCATGTATTACGGACGTGAGAAATACAGCCCAGTGCAGTAGCTATCACAGGACGCCCACAATCAGCAGTAAGGTGTCATTGCTGAGTCTGATATGCTTCAGTCAATAAATAATTGGTTGATCGTGGGCAAAAATAATAATGCAGCAACGATCCCACGTAATGGTGCAGATGAGAATCTAAAAGCTGAATAGAGCTCATCAACGAAACAAAACGCCTCATCAGGATTCTGCCACAAAGCTCAACCAGTGACTGACATAAATGTATCTATGCGTTTTCTGAGTTAAAATGTAACCAGAGCCCACAGCTTGCCTGTTATTAATTGCCGATAAACACAATGTGAGAGTGTCGATTATTTAGTATTTCAGTTGTCGGAGCCAGGATTATTGACTCCAAAAAGGAAACTCGAACAGAGGCACTGGAACTGAGCTAATTACAATAAAACCTCAGTAAGTTGACCACTCAAGGGACTGGACCAAAGTGGTCAACACAGAGAGGTGATCAACATACGGAGGTTGTCTACCAAAACTTGGAGTGACCTGCTTTACCGTTGCGAGTAACCTAGTACGAAATTTATTTTAAGATAGACGCATATCGAACATATTAGACGAAGTCTCAAGTAACACAAACGGTTCAATCATACAGGGTAATAATAAATCAAAAACACAGTGCGTATTACGCAAGTTAAACCGCTTTTTGAAAAAGGCTTTCTCGTATGACAGGGAAGTAAAACGCGCTCTCAGCACAAGCAACAGTACTCAGCATGCTATGACATTTTTCCACAGCAAAGGATTTCAGTTGCATTAAAAGATGTCTAACTTCACCTTCTTTTGGAGTTTCTGTGATTTTCTAGTAATCGTCATTCAGGCCCTTTTAATCAGCATCATCAGGTGCTTGTTCTTTGTGTCTGTAGGGGAGTACTGTAGTCCGTAACTTGGAAAATAGCATTTGGGTCTGGTCCAGTGTTAAGTACCAAATCATGATCCATTTCAACAAACTCATTAAAATATATTCCGTCGAATTCTACCAATGGAGATGGAATGGCTACTAAGGCGACGGCATCTCGCTCGAGAGATTGAACAAATCCGGCTTTGCTGTATTATTTCTGATTGAGCTCCGAACCGAGCAGAACTTATCCAAAGCAGTAACTGAAGCAACACATGCAATTCCTTCCGCAAGAAAATTATTAATATACAATTTTGCCATAGCCCATTGCATGAACTGGGCTCGGTAGTGTATACTGAATATTTTGTTGATCCCTAGGTCCATAGGTTGAATTTGTGAGATCATGTTTGGAGGCAGAAACACAAGCGTAATTTTTGTGAAATTTTTTTGCACAGGTGTGACTAGGACAGTTGTCGACTGATAGGATAATGAAGCGTTTCTTCATCATTCTTTTCTTGTCGATACCAGTGATCCACGCAGATCGGTTTGATCTCCAGCTGATAGGAAGATTTTCAGGAGTTAGGTTTCTGAACGCACATGATTTAGCTGATTTACCAAAGACTATGGGGCTTTGGTTTCCCATCCGGTAAGCTTGCGCAAAACAGAACTGTGAAACGTTCTTAGGATTGTTTTCCACTCTTATATTTGTCACCCTCTTTAACAGGACTTCTGTTGGACAGCGTCTTGATAAAGAGACCGCACTCGTCAGCATTGAAGATGTCGTCATTGTTGAAGCCCTTGCTGAAGTTGGGACATTTTTCGATGACGTCTAAAACAAACTCTTCAGGCACTTCATTAGATTCACCACACAAAACTCATTGGGAAATGTCATGTCGGATTTTAAATTTCTCTAGCCAACTATTGCATGCCTGGAAATTTGTTACCCAAAATACTTATGAGAACCTCTTAGCAATTTCATGAATCATCGGCCCAGAAATTCGAGTGTTAGTTGCCCTCATCTGTTTGAACCAGCGAAAGGTAACCTGAATGACTTCATCATGTGAAGTTTCCCGCCTCTTCCGCTGTAGATCCCCACTTTCATTGTCGTATCTCTCCAAGTACTCATGTTTATCTCTTTGAATTTTGCTAACTGTTGTCCTGCTAATTCCAATATGCGTTGCTGTCTTTCTTTGGCCACCGCTTTCAAGAAAATGTACCCGACTAATCCTTACATTTAAAGTCAACTGAGCACTTTTCTTTGGACCATAATGTTGAATTGCTCGTAATGACCGATCCAAATTGTTCAAAGCACGCAGTGGATATAAAGTCTACGGTTCTAGTCACGTAATATTTATTACATACAATAAGTAACCTCAATTGGTTTCACCCTTATGCCGAGACCAAATAGAGCCGGAGATATGCTCCTCAATTAATGTGGGCGTAAAGGTCAACCTCGTCGCAATTCAAGATGCTACTGAACTGGTGCGTAATCGTGGGTTTGACAGTCACACAGAAATGGCATCGCGATCAGGTTTTTAAAGCCGCAAAGCTACAAGGTGGTAAACAACGGCCAGCATACATTGACGAATCGAAATAGAGGAGCGTGACGCGTCGCCTGATAGCAAAGACCGCTGACAAAACATATCGAAACAATGCAAATAAAAGAATTGGGAGCGTTCCACCAGCCGGTAGCGGGAAAATGCAAGTTCAAACCGTAGAGAAGGAAAGAAAAATCCATTTACGTAAAAGTAGGATGTCCCAATTTCCGCAATAAACATTTATTGCATGTTGTCTTATGGAATTTCTACCTTTATAATGCCTCAATATGCATTTAAACAAAGGAACACAATTCTGTGCATGAACGCAAATAAATGCTCCGTTGAGAATGATAAAAATGGTAAAACCGGAGGTTTCTGATGAATGAATTGCTGCCAACGTGAAAGGTGTGCGTGCATATGGATGTAAACCATCTGCTGTGTTCCCAGAGGTAACAGTTAGAAAATATGACCGAAAACAAGAATCTATACTTTGCAGACAAAATTTAAGAAAACGTTTATCAAAAGGAAAATAAAGCGATGCCGGTAATGCGAGGAAAAATTGCTGTAGTGAGTCGCTGTGCACATACCAAATAAGGGTTGTGAATTCCACCAAGAATTTTATAAAAAGACCACTCTTATATACAGCTGAAATACAGACTGGTGGGACACGGCTGAAAGTACGGTGCATTCCATCGGCTCCAAGCATTTTCGAGATCTCCAATCAGACATTTCATTGTTAAGACAGGAACAAGGCAAAAATGTTGCAAACCAACGATTCACTCAACATTCAACTCACTCAAATGAACAGACTTTTCGTGTTCCCGGAGCTTAAACAACAGAGAAAAGGTTTTCTCACAGTATTTGCATACGTGAGGTCGCTGATCTAGAACGGAAAAGAAGAACTTGATAGGTAAATACATCGCAACAGAAAAATAATGTAGAGGAAATGTTATGTGATACCGTAAGTACAATCAGAAAGACGTTCAGCTATTGGCCATACGAAGATGGCTAGAATAATAATTATACATAATTAAACAAGTTAGCTGCAGGTGGAAAACACCTCAGACATTATGCCGCAATACAAAAGAAAAACATGGAACCGGAGTGCCGTCAAGTGAACGAGATCCTTCGCCACAGAAGAAGCACGGACATTGTAGTGCTGGCAGGGGGTCTGAACGCTCAAGTTGGAAAAGTACTCACTGATGACGGTGTAGGCTCCTGTAATGATAATGGTGAGCAGTTCACTTGTGTGAAAACGCCCACCTACTTCTTGCGAGCAGTAACTTCCCACACAGCACCCGCCGGAGGGTGACTTGGCACCCACTAGCCTTGAACGCAAATCGATCAGAAAGCGATCAGTTACTGCCGGAGTGGCTACGTCCAAAAATGCTCGATTTGGAGCATACCCATGGACAAACAGCATGCACTTGTATGTGCTGACCTGCGAATGCGTTTTGGCAGGCGCTCACGACGACGTAGTGAGCGCATTGACACCATACAACAGGCGCAGCCAGTTGTTCTGAATCCGTATCAAAATACGCTGAGATGCGGGTTGAGTAAGCGGGCAATGGGTAGGATTGAAGGGCAGTGGTCCCATGTTCATCACTCTCGACCTGAACAGTGTACAATGCAGCGGTAGGTTCAATACTACTGTACGGTTGTAAAGGTTGGCCCCTTAGACCAGTCGATAAAGAGGCCAGTTGGGTTCGACCACCGGTGCCTTCACAACCTGGACCACTTCTGGTGGGAACAGCATGCGCGCAATGAGCGCCTTAGACATATTTTTCATGACATATAGGAACAGGTCCGGGAGCAGCGGGCCAGCTGAACTGATCTTCAAAGTGTTCCTCCCAACGAACCATACGGCGCTCCTTATTGTGTATCAGCGCACCCGCGCTGTCTCTGATTGTCTTACTGACGACTGGTTTATTGGGACCAGTGGTGCGAATCAGCTGGAAGAGCTTGCGGTAATTGCCCACTGCTCCTGCCTCCTCCATTTCTTGAGCCCGACTGGTCCACCAGGCTTCCTTGTCAGCACGTAGGCTCCGCTTTAGTTCACGCCTAATAGCCCGTCTGGTCACATTGTGTTCAGAACCAGCCGGAAAGTGTCTTCTAGATTCCAACAGGTTCACCGACCTCTCGGATATCCAGTGACTAGTGCGGTGACGATGGATAGTGCCACAAGCAGATGCCCCTGTGTTGTGCATGGCAGCCGAGACCCAATTCCACTGAAGCTCAGTCATTAGGACAAGACAGCGGAAGTTCGATACGCAGCGACTCTTGATACGCTTGCCTGACCGAGGACTGAGACAATTTCTCAGTTGCCAATCAAAGGAGACGCTTGGTGCACCTTCCGGGAAAGTTCATGGAGAAACGACAGCGCACCAAGGCATGATCAGAGTCGACACAGGTACTCCAGTACGAGTGGCAATCCAGGATGGAACCACGCCACCTGTAACTTATCGCTATGTGGTCAATTTGGGTCCATCGCTGGCCAGCTACAGGAGGACGCCAAGTGGCACTTCGACGCCCACAGTGCCTAAAGCAGTGCTACTAAGAAACAACTGGTGCTCCGCACACAGTTACAGCAGACGCTCACCGTTGTCAGTCCGTTGGGAGTTAACCCCATAATTACCACCCAACTGAGCTTCGGAAAAGCTCAGACACCCTACTTATGCTTTCATATCTCCTGCAAGTACTATGATATCTGAACTATTAGCACTGCGTAGTAGGGCGTTCAGTTCGTGATAAAAAGTGTCCTTGACTGTATTAGAACTGCAGTCAGTGAGAGCATAAACGGAAATCACAAACAAGCAGCGTTTTGTTTTACTTCGTGAATCCACCTTAGCTGATGTCGTCAAACGGGCTGCACATAAACGGCTGTTCACCGGAATCCAATCCACCAACGATGGCTCAGCCTTGGAATTGAGAATGATACCTACACCAGCTTGACGCGTGACTGCCGCATCGGCGTCTCCGGATGCGTGCAACCAATACCGAGAGGATAAGCTGGGTGCAGTTAATACAATAACCCCGTTAGGGTAATTGATCCTAAATTCGGACACACAACACACATCAATAACCTGTGTGTCCAAGGTGCGTGCGAGTGCAGCCTGTTGACCTGCTTGTCTTAGAGTGCGGAGAGCTAACAGCTGTCTATCGTGCCGCAAAAAAGTATATTATGTCCAATGCGTGAAATCGTGGTTTGAGGGAGAAACTAAGCAGGACAGAAAGGGACAAAGAAACTCAGAACACAAACGCTACTGATGTCGGCTCCTAGCCATGTCAACAAGTGTATCCAGTCAAACGTGTTCATCGTCCTTCAGTCCAAAACCAGGGAGCTGAGAGGCTCAAACAGAGACCAACGGCGAAATAAGGGACTTCATTCCTCTTGACCAAATCATCGACTGGCCACCGATCCTCTTCCTACATCCACAACCCCGGAGCACAAAAAACGCGAGCATCCAAAGTGCATAACAAAGGTCCCGTCTGAAATAGTCTACCAGACTGTTAACATATAATTCGGGAATCGAAATCAGTCGGATTTAGCATTTTGATACACTGAGATACGATAATCCATTAGCCAAACTCATTAGGAACTCAACAATGAAATTACTTATTCACAAGGGCAGGTCAATTTCAGCCCACTAAGCAGCAGTTACCTTAGGACGACACACTGCCGACTGCGCACAGAGAACAATGGAGCCACGGTGAAAAGTAGGAGCGTTGATCTAGGGATTAGTTTGATGTAACGAATCAGATTTGAAAATGACGATTGTAAAAAGTGTCAAACATCTAGGGTTCAACGCACGTCAGTTAAAGATGGTGCGATATCCATCGCATCGCGAAAGCTACACTTGACAGCTTGGTACTTGCTGAAATCAGCTGCAATGAACGGATGAGCTGTCACAGATGAGGGCAACGTCGGCAACATACTCCAAAACAATGGGAAGACAAGCACTGTGAGATGGCACCAATTTGCGTTATCTGAACGCTTACAAACTAAACACCTACATGGATCACGTGAGAGGAGGAAACGATCGTTCTGAAAAGACACAGTAAAGGAAAGCGCAACAAAGCAAGGCAAACGATATCGGGATTGTGGTAAAGACCATGAAACCCAAAGAAGCTTTAGGGTTACTTCCAGTTGTTCTTGTATAAAAAGTAGGATACTGACGATTAACTGTCACGGCCCAGGAAAACGTAAGCATCCCAGCGTTTTTGTTTCGGCAGACCACCGAAAACGTTGAGTCAGGGTCAAACGGAAGACCCGTACCTATTACGTGCCTAGCGATGGATGAGACTGGCAGCTTACCTGCCGCGCCTTGTCCCGTTGCCTGTTGCTCCCTCAACCTAACAAATTGCTACGGAATATGATCTCCCATCCGCTTACCCAGACAGTGATCTGTTCTGCCAATGTAACTAGTTCCACAAGGAGAGACGAAAAGGTATATGCAACGGGGAATGGCGCAGAACGGTTGAGAGGGTCTGATCAAAAGCATCGGCGGTTTTCTGGTTATCCAAATATAACGGAATTTAGAAGCGATGAATATATGACGAATATCTGGGTTCAAACGTCGTTAAAGTCGCGTCATTCCGACATTACTCTTAAAAAGCAACATGAACGATGATGTATGCCGGGTAAAAAATGAGCTGCTTGACAAGTCCCGCAGGATGTTTGGGGTAAACGTACAATTTGAAAAGCACGGAAAGAAGACGAAGGCTGGTAGATGCATGCATTTCGTATTGTCTCCTCAGTAGCATTAACAATAACCGATAAGCATAGATATGGCTAACAGTGGGTGCAACCAGACAAGCTTAAGGTGCAAAATGAATGACGGAAGTTCACACCTACGTCCAAGGCAGCTTTAGGCTGACAAATAATTGTTTCTGAACACACAAGGCTGGCTTAATCCGGCTAATTGCGACAGCCGCAGCAAACCGAAGGAAGCGGGGATTAGTGTGACGTAACACAACTTTAAACGCTGAGCCCAGCTCTAATTGGTGACCCGAGTCTAATAGGTGTTTGCCTATCGAGGAAGCCGGCGGTCTGCGCGAACATGGAATCTCAAGAGGGTAGGCAATCTGAGCAACTTCACGTTGAACCCATCCTGGCACATGTTCCTTTATTCGGGAAGTCAGCGTTCTATTGGTTTGCCTATGTAACTTTTTCCCCAGTCACATACAAATTGGTATACACAGTGTTATTAATGGTACTGAGGAGACAATACGAAATGCATGCATCTACCAGACTTCGTCATCTTCCCGTGCTTTTCAAATTGTTGAAGGGAACTAACTGCTTTAAAAGTACAATTATCAAAAGAGAAGTGAGTTGTCTGTTTGAGCATTTACCTAGCAGATACACTGCTGAATAGTAGTAGTGTAAGTGGGAGTGGAATGTGAACGACGGGGGAAAATAGGGGCAGTTATGGTTGTTGCACGCCGTGAGAAAACGAGAATACCCATTTATGTACCGACTCTTCAGATATATGTAACATGTTAATATGGTTTGAATGGATAATTAATATACTCCAGTTGCACAGAGATGAAGTGAAGTGAAGTGATGGGGGCCAATGGCAAAATCCAATCGATTTTTGAAAACGTCTAAGGTAGGGGAGAAAACAAGGATGTTTGGCAGAGTTCCAGGGTTGACAAACCCGAAGAGAAAAATAATTCCGCCGGCATTTCAGACAGCTATACAGTGTACACAATTTAAGAGGGTTACCTCTGAGATTGGTGTTATGGTTGAGTTTCAGCTATTGACAGCATACGTGATTAAGGCCACTCAATATTTAGTAGACTAATATGAGATCGCCGAGACTGCCTTCGGTAGCAGCCACTGAAAAGTCCCAGTGAGTTCAGTCTTTGATGGGAGGACAGATT